GAATGCTCCACTTCAACCAAAGGATCAAAACTGAGATGAAGCAAAAACTTCACCAATTATCCAGGGAGACCGAGATGATGGGCCTCTGTTGCTACCACCCCCTATACCATGCCACTGATACTGGAGGACCCCTCTTCACCACCAGTAATACCAGAGGCCCCCCACCCCCACCCCTGCCAGACACACCACCACCATCTGTGTTCCCACCACTGCCTGCAGAGCCAGACCAAATGGGAAGGCACCTTCACTAAGCCTCCAGCCAGTGGTCAGCACTCCAAATGCCCCTGCATGAGAACAGAGGCCCCCAACGAGTGACACAAGATGGCAATGTTCAGAGTGGACAATCAATCTTCTATTACCAGCCATTCACTAGCATGGACTTGCTAAATTGGAAACATCATATCCCCTCTTACTCAGAAAACCTCAGGCCATAATTGACTTAGTTGAGTCTATCTGTTAGACTCATCTTCTCACTTGGGGAGATTGCTGCCAGCTCCTCCTAATCCTTCTTAATACTGAGGAGTGGTGACGAGTAATGACAGAATCCTGAAATGGATGGCAGGATGTGCCCTGGGATACTTATTAGATCCTGATACCTGGGTAAGGGGCACTTTCCCAGAGGAGAAACTATACTGGAACCCAAAGTTGGAGGGCAGAAGGGCCAGCCTAGAAAAATATTGACTAGCCCTCCTGAAAGGATTAAAAGCAGGACCTAAGAAGCCCATCAATATGTCCAAGACTACCAAGGTCCTCCAAAAGCCAGATGAAATTCCCTCGGACTTTTATGGGAGACTTTGTGAGACGTTCTGGCTATATATACCCTTCGACTCTGAGAATCAGTGCATAGTGAATGCCACCTTTGTGGGCCATGACCAGGGTAATATCCAAAGAAAGCTACAGAGGTATGAAGGGTTTACCAGAATGAACAGCAACCCATACTGGAGATAGCCAACAAGGTCTTCATAAACTGAGAAGCAAACTGCAAAGAGGGAGACAAACAAGAAGGCCCACCAGAGAATGAGGCAAAAGGCAGCTTACCTTGCTACAGTCCTAGGCCTGCCAGCTGAATTTGTGTCAAAGCAAGCAAAAGCAAAGCCCAGGACCTGTGTACCCTTACAACAGGGTCAGTGTGGATGCTGCAAGAAAATTGGACACTGGAAGAAAGACTACCCTGATAGACCTCTACCCTGAGGGAAGAAAAGAAAAATCAAGGAATGGAGATGAATGCTATTCCATACAAGACAGAATCCTCTGCTGCTGGCTTTATAAGGTTAACTGGCGTTGACTCAGATTGAGACAGACAGGGCTCAATCATCTTAGGCCCCCATGAGCCTATGGTCAAAATACAGGTTGGGGGTCAATCAATGGATTTTATGGTGGACACTGGAGCAGAGCATCTGGCTGTAACCAAACCAGTGGGGCCCATGTCAAAAAGAAAAACAAAAATCATGGGGCTATCAAAGCCCAAATCAAATACTCTTTTTGTGAAACCCTCAATTGCATCATGGGGGGGGGGACACCAGGTAAAACAGAATTTCCTGTATGTCCCAGAATGTCTGGTACCTTAGATGGGAAGGGACTTGCTGTACTTTCAGAGACCCAATGGTATACCTGTCTGGATCTGATGGATGCTTTATTTTTTCATTCACGTGGCACCGGTAAGTCAGCCCATGTTTGCCTTTGAATGGGAAAAGCCCGTCACTGAAAAGAGCAATTAACTTGGACCCGGTTACCCCAGGGGTTCAAGAACTCCCCCACTATATTTGGAGAGGCCCTGGCAGAGGATCTGGCACTTCCCAAGTAAACACTCCTGCAATATGTGGATGATCTCCTCCTGGCAAGTGCAACCTTGGAGGAGTGCAATAAGGGAACAGAGACATTGCTAGACATGCTCCAGAAAGCTGGATACAGGGTGTCCCTTAAAAAGGCCCAGATTTGTCAGAAATCAGTCAAGTACTTTGGGTTTCTAATCTCAAAAGGTCATTTGGCCTTGGGGCCTGAATGGAAAAAGGCAATTTGGGTCCTTCCAAACCCAAAAGCTGAAAGCAAATCCAAGAGTTTCTGGGGGCTGCTGGATTCTGTTGCATCTGGATCCCTAACTACTCATGAATAGTCAAACCCCTCTATGAAGCCACAAAGGGGGAAGAAAAAGAACCATTTCAATGGGGGCAACAGCAACAGGAAGCCTATCTTACCCTTAAGAAGGCTTTACTAGAAGCCCCTGGCTTGGGACTCCCTGATGTAACTCCCTGATGTAACCCCTGGCTTGGGACTCCCTGAGAATTTAATCTCTTCATTCATGAGAAAAAGGGAATGGCCATGGGCGTTCTAACACAGAACATAGGACCCTGGCAACAGCCTGTGACTTATCTGTCCTGACAGATAGACACAGTGGTGGCTTCATGGCCACCCTTTCTGTGGGCCCTGGCTGCCACTGCTTTCCTGGCTGAAGAGGCAGACAAACTTACCATGGGACAAATTCTGAACATCAAACTCCCTCACGCAGTCACGGCCCCAATGGACCACGGAGGACACCGTTGGCTCACCAATTCATGCATGAACCGCTACCAACACTTTCTGTGTGAAAAACCCTGGGTGTGGCTACAGACTGTCAGAACTTTAGATCCAGCCACTTTCTTACCTGCCAAACCAGGACCCCTGGACCATGACTGTATTGAAACAACAGACGAGATCTACTCAAACCACCCAGATCTCACAGATCAGTCTTTGCCTTCTCCAGACTGTGTCCTCTACACTGATGGAAGTAGCTTCCTGTCAAATGGGAAGTGTTTGGTGGAATATGTGGTCATATCGGAAGCAGAAGTAATTGAATCAAGGGTCCTCCCAATGGGATGGTCAGCTCAATGGGTAGAGCTAATGGCTTTAATCAGGGCCCTAGAATTAAGCAAAGGAAAGATGGTAAATATCTACACAGACTCAAGATATGCCTTTGCTACCCTCCATATACACAGGGCCCTCTATAAAGAAAGAGGACTTCTTACTTCAGGAGGAAAAGCTATCAAAAATCAAGCTGAAATCCTATGCCTCCTAGAAGCAATCTGGGATCCCATGGCCATTGCAGTCATTCACTTCTGAGGATCAAAAGGGAAAGAGTTCCTTAATCAAAGAAAACCAAAGGGCAGACAAGGAAGCCAAGTGGGCAGCCATGACAGCAACCCCCCAGGTCCCTCCTGACAAAATTTTGATAATCTCAGCCCTACCCAAATACCCAAGTTATGCCCAGAAAGAAGAAAACTGGATAAACATGGAAAAGGGTACCAAGGGCTCAGACGGATGGTGGTTTCTCCCCGATAGATGACCCTTTGTCTCAAACCACCTAGTCTATCCCCCGGTTCACCAATTTCATGAAAACACCCATATGGGAAAAATGGCATTAGAAATCTTAGTGAACTGATATTACTATATAGTCAGACTCCCCGCACTTTGCAGAAATGTAACTCGGAGATGTCAGACATGGGTTCGCAACAATGCCAGACAAGAGCCTTCCCAGCCACCAGGAATACAAAGAACTGGACAAAGCCTATTTGAAGACCTAGAAATAGACTTTAATGAAGTGTCACCCAGCAAAGGATATAAATACCTATTAGTCATTGTATGCACATACTCAGGGCTGGGTTGAGGCATATCCTACCAGAACTGAAAAGGCTAGAGAAGTAACAAAAATTCTACTAACTGAAATCTTACTTAGATATGGAATGCCTACCTTAATTGGATCAGATAATGGGCCTGCCTTTGTGGCCAAGATTACACAAGAACTAGCAAGGACCCTACACATCAAATGAAACTTGCACACAGCTTACAGACCTCAGAGTTCAGTGAAAGTTAAGCACATGAGCTGAACCCTAAAGCAAATTTTAAGTAAGTTTTGTCAGGAAACCCAACTGCCCTGGACCTCTGTACTGTCTATGGCCCTCCTCCAGGTAAGATGCTCTCCCCAAGCAGGAATCAAACTCTCCCCCTATAAAATTCTGTTCAGCAGACCTCCTCCCCTTGTAAGAGTCCTCGGAGACAGGAAAGAAATAGGAAATCTAAATATCCATTCCCAGTTATAGCTCTTAGCTACCACCATATCAGTTACACCACTGGGTGCTGGAAAGAATTCCTCTACCTGTAAGCAACCCAGTGCACCCCTACAAACCAGCAGATTTTGTCTGGGTAAAAGACTGGCACAAGGTATCCCTAAAACCCACATGAAAGTGTCCATACTCTGTATTTCTAACAACTCCCACAGCTTTAAAAGTTGCAGGCGTAAACACCTAGATTCATCACTCCTGAGTGAAAGTTGTTGCTTCACCAGAATGCACGGCTAACTGGACAATGACCAGAGACCTGAGTACCCCCTCAAGATCCCCTTCCAAGCCCACTGCTCTGCTCCAACCACACTGCAGGCTGACCAGTCAATGTGCAATGGAAGCATGCAAATCCAATTGCCCCAAAGAAAATAGACTATTTTATTGGTTGTTGATTTCCTGAATGTATTGCTATCAACCTTTAACCCCTGCCCTTTTCATCCTGATAGCATTAGCTTTAGGCATAGACCTAATTACCGTAACTCCCAAAGACTGACAAACTAAAAATGTGGCAAAAATTCTCTGCTAACACTATCTTATTTCTCATGCATAGGATGTATTACTGCCCTACTATGTTTGCATTAAAAATATGTCTTTTACTTAACCCCAAGAGCCATCTAGATAATACCCCTATTAATTGACTAGTATAGGTGCCAGAATAGGGCAAACTGCATCCTCAACCACTTATTATCACCAACAATCCAGGTACATAACGGATGATATAGAGCGGGTCACTACATCATTAATGACCCTTCAAGATCAATTAGATTCCTTAGGTGAAGTAGTTTTACAAAATAAAAGGGGACTAGGCCTGCTAACTGCTGAAGAAGCGGGCTTTGTCTCTTCCTAAATGAGAAATGCTGTTTTTATATAAATAAGTCAAGGGTAGTTAGGGTTATGGCCCAACAATTAAAAGAACAAATCACAAAAAAGAAGATTAATTTCCTGCTTCTTGGGGTTGTTGACGGCTGCATAGTGGTAGAGGAGGACGAGCAGGAAGAGCGACATGCCCAGCATGTTGGCGAAGATGGCGAGCTGCACGTCGGTGATCATCCTGCAAGGACAGGCGCTGAGGCTGGCGGCGCGCGGCCGGCCAGGCCCGG